AGTTGGAGTCGATTGTGAATCCGCCACTTTTTCTGATGCTTCGGCTCTGGGAGAAAATGAACTTGGCATAGGAGGATAAGAAGGCAGACGCGAAGAAGTGGTTGCAAGGGGACTCCGTTGACTGGTCTTGGACATTTTCTTGTTGGAGGCTTCTGTGACAATTTTCACCTAAGTTTGACATAGGATTCTCAGCGTTAATTCTGTATAAAAAGCAGAGGCTCATGAACGGAATGCTATTCTAGTGAAGAAGTGCAGTTGCGGGACTACAAACAACATGATGAGAGCCATAATGTCCAGCCAAGTGCCACGTACGAAACATGAAGAGTTAGTGAATGCCTAGAACAAAGGAACAGTTCGGTAAGGGAAAGACAAAAGTGCTAACAATTTTGGAACTGCGATAAAGGGAAAGCACGAACACCACTGGCTAAGGTTATACTCTGAATACGATCGTATTCACTGAGTATGTAGAAGGGTCGCTGCTATCAGTGTGAAAATTTATTTGGCTATAGCTGTCGAATTGTCAAGGCCAGTGTTTCCGTTACCTTAAATATAGCACCCCATGAATGCCGATCAAATAAATCCTGGTAAAGTGCCGAAGTTTAGTCTGTTTTTCAACATGGACATTTAACGTCTTGCTGTAATCAGTAAAGATTTAAGTAATGAGATAACCCTGTTTTGGGTGTTTATTCTGAGGAATATGTGCACGAATTTTGGATAAACCATGCATGGCGTGTTTTCATACATTGCCAAGTGCCTAATAAATAATATGTACTTACATGAAGTCATTATTTGTTGTGGAAAGATGTTAATTATTACTTGCTATTTACCAAAAACAGTAAACTAAATCATGTTTGTCATGCAAGGTTATATTGTTTGGCTGAAAAAGGTTTAATTTAAAAATGAGAAACGGCCACTGGTTTGAGAAGATGATACCCAACATCTAACTATGATATGTTTAAAGCGCATTTCTTATTAACATCAGCAGACCTGAAGTATTCCAATGACTTGTAGTGACCGCACTCCGCGCTGACGCAGCAAATTCCGCGCAAACGCTCGCCTAGCGCTGCAGCCAATAACACGCGCGCGCTCGTAGGCTGACCGCAATCCATCTGGCCAATCACATTTCAAGGCTGACTCGCAGAAAGGCCGATTTGTGTGTTGTGACTAGCTCGCGTCGAAGTGCATTTTCTTAAAGGCCCACCGATGCGGTTTTCGACGCCTCGATCAGCCAATTACAATAGCCGCAAAACCTGCGTTCTGACCGGTGACGAATAGAAAGCCTGCACGCGTCTTCGCTGTCTCTCTGGCCCGCGGGGATTCCTATAACTATGCCTCACTTCAGATCACGCCGGTCCCGCAGAACGTCGTACTCTCCGTAGTCAATCTCTTTCCTTCTATTCTCCGTTCCTCCGTGTACACAATATACTGTTCCTCCCACTCTGGCCTTTCCAAGACTTCTCCTCTACTAAGTAACCGTGGTCTGAAGATCGCAGTTGCCTGGGTTTAATTCACTTAACCCCCTGCGATATGTGGACGCTGAGGCAACTGCCAGACTCAGACATTTCGGACCAGGCTCCCTTACGGCTGAACTGCGCTCGTCTGAGAGTCAACTTCCTCCTACCTACTTTCCGCTCTTTCTTTACCGAATAAACGATTCCTACTATCCGGCGTCTCCCTTAATAATAGTTACCAAATGATG